CTTGCTTGTTTCTGTACAGGAACATTTGTAAATTGACTCAGCGATAAACGAATCGCGATTGGAGGACGACACGATCCTATTAAAAATCTAACACAACAAACCTTGACATCAATTCATATTAAACTTTATGTATAAATTCTTAAGATACATTATACGACTGTGTAAAACGTACCTACGTATCGGAGATTAAATTTTTGATTGATCATTGTAATTACATGTCAGTTTCAGCTAGGAGCAAAAGTATTTCTCTTTCGATCCTTTTAAAAGCATTTGTTCCCTCGGGCACGCTTTCCATCGGAGTTGATGTGTGGCACGTTGCTAGGCAACGGACGTTTGTCAAATCAACCAATAGCAATGTTTGGTTTACGGGGTTGGTAAAATCGTACAAAGGCCGTCTCGTTAGGGCCCTGTGTATTTTATTATCCTTTAAATCGTGGTAATTCCAGACAGAAGAATTATACGTGCGTGAACGTGTTGGATTTTTACCTGATGGTAAGCATTCAGCGCCGCCCATGAACAGAGGAATTAGGAGTGCTTTGCCGACCTTTTAGGGATTCGGGATTGGAGCAGTGGAAGAATGCTGGCTGTGTTTGCGAATGCACGTTGAAACACAACACTGTGGTTGTTTCACGCCGGTCGAGCCGACCATAGGTTGTAGATGACGAAAATCTAATACAAAGTAACGAAACCGTAATATATTATTATATTAAATATTTTTAGATCAAATTAAACAACCAGATGGCGTTGCCGCGATTAAAAGCGAGGTATGGTTTCGTTACAATGAATAGTATAAGAGTATAATTTCTTTCTTTCTGATATATATACGACCCAGCAATTCAAGCATTATAAGTGGTTTAATTTCAACCCTATTACAAGCTACAATAGATCAACGATTACTTCGGTAATTAACATGGGTCTCCCACTCTTAAATCAACAAGGAACATATAAAATTGGCAGTACTTAACTCACACGTGTTAACTGATTTATTGTAGGCGGTGATTCCATTACTGTGTGTCACAGCCAAGCGGCACACGTGAAGGACTCGCTTAATTCTATCAATTTCATTTTAAAACAATTCGCGTTTATTTTAAACGGATTTTCCGTGACACGATAGCTGAAAGTTTTTTGCTCTTTTTCAACGATTTACGAGTATTTAGCTAGATACATTATGTTTCGTATGCTGTGATTTGTTTGGGTGAATTTTAATGGGAGAAAATCTTCTGGACGAGAAAGAGGGATGGAGCTATACACCTTTTATAGCTCCATCCCTCTTTCTCGTCCGGAAGATTAACGCCTTAACACGTCATGGTAGGCCCTCTGTTAGTAGATTTCTTCAACACGTGTCCTAGGATGATATTCTCATTATCATCATCATCAGCCTGTAAGTGCCCACTGCTGAGTAAAGGCATCTTCTCACACATAGAAGGTTTGTGCATTAATCACCAAGCTCGCTCAAACCGGATTGGCCATTCCTGACTTAGGTATAATTAGAAATTATAAGTCCAGGTTTCCTCACGAGGTTTTCTTTCACCGTTTGTCAGTGGTGTCTAAATAATCATAGAAAGTACATATGTGACTTGAAGAAGTTACTTACATTGGTACTTGTTAGGTTTTGAACCCTCTCATGCATTAGAATCGGGCGCCTTAACCTCGGGCAACCTCAACATTTAATATAAATAAACATTAATATTTTTTTTAAATCCATTAAACACTTTAGGAAATTTATGGATGACGGATAAAAACTTAATATTTTTTTGTGGATTTAGTGTATAGTTATCCAGCTTATCATTAATGATCTTATTGATCTTACAAACCAAACATGTATACAATTTTTTTTTTGCTGAAGCTGTTGAAAATAAAATTACATTACCTGCGTAAGTTATACATATATTAGTTTAAAACAACAGACTGTCAGTATACCAAATAAATGCGTTATAGGAACTGAAACTTGCATAGTACGTAGGTACAATCCAAACTAATATTATAAATGCGAACGTAACTCTGTCTGTCTGTCTGTATTTTCTTCACACCTAAACTATTGAACCGATTTGTGTGGAGTGAAATTTAGTAGGTAGGTTTGGAACTCGAGGAAGGACATAGGATAGTTTTTAAACCAAAAATCTGCAGCAAGTCACTATTTCACACAAAGTCGCGGGCAAAAGCTAGTTATAAAATAAATAATAACAAACAAAAATTATTAACTTCCTCCTTCTGAAAATAAAAATATCCAACATAAAATCTGAAATTAAAATTGAGTTAAGAATTTGCATTAACTTTTGGGCCGGCAGTCATTATTTTGGCTCGGCTTGATCATGTGTATAATGAAATCGGTAAAAGAGTTTTTGGAATAATCGGAAAATTTACCGTATGACGTGACGAAAAGTGTAATAAAATAGGGGTGGAGGATAGGGTGCGCTGTGACGCGTGTCAGAAGCTTTCAGCCGCGCCTTCTCATTTTAATGAGTAAGTGTTAACTAATTACATACCATTCCGCTACCCCTTTACACTCGATTAAGGCGAACACAAAGAAATTAGTCGTCAATTTATTGCATTTTCATTTTTATTTGACGCTAGACGCTCGACTTGTCCAACCCGCTAAATGCTCAAGGGTTGCGAAACTTTTGTTTTCTACTATTTGATTAATTTATTTATTTATTTATCTATATAAAAATAAGTCAGGTGTTCCTTCCTAACGCTATAACTCCAGAACGCAAACTGATTTCCACGATTTTGCATTCGTTGGAAAGGTCTCGGGAGCCTTGAGACTTGTAGCAAAAAAAATTAGGAAAAATTTCAACTAAAAAGCGGTGACTTGGAAATGTTTAAAATCGGCATACACGCGAGCGGAGCTGCTGGCGACCGCTAGTGGAGAAGACTAAATTTGATGGTTATTAGGAACTTGTAAAAAATTGTATTTGTATTGTTTTATTGTGTTCAATTTGGTAGTTTCCTAGGTCAAAAATAAATTATTTTGTCTTCTCAATACAGTGCATTATTAAAAAATATTTACTTTCATTCGTTGATTTGACGATTCACGATTCTTAACTATAGATTTTCTAGTTAATTATTTAAAAAGAAGTATGCCATATGTAGCGGTCTCATACAATATTCAAAGAAAAGTACCGTTTTTGATAATTCATTAAAAATATTTAATTTGACTAGTTGGAAGCTACCACATTAGATATACCTACTGATGATAAACAAAAAAAATACAAATCACGCAAAACTGAATATCCATCCGTAAGCTTTTCAGAGGATTAATTTATCAAAGAAAGAAGACAAGAAATTTATCTTAGGTATATTTGTTAAATCATTTCACATTTTATCATTCGCTCAAAATTAACAGTTAAACTGGCAAGAATGAGGCTAATAAACCAACAGATCTGATCAACAAGGTTTTACGTATAACAAAGGCTTTGCACGTCAAATTACCGTTTCCAAAGCTATTTTTCCTCTAAAATGATGGCAGCGCCACAGAGCAGAATAATCCCGCTCATTTCACATTTATTTTGTAATGGTAGACTCATTTTTCTCACTCGTAGGAGATCATTTATAATGGCAATTTGGGACAGCACTACTTTTTTACAACGGTTCGTATACCTGTGGAGTCACGCTACCTATGTAGGTTGCAATAAAAACACACTAAGAGCTGATTTTTCAATAGTCAGATAAATGTTATCTGAGGAATAAAACAGTTGCTGTCACTGTCTAATACAAACATTCTGACGCGACAGCATCGTAATTATTTCCCAGATAACTTTTATCTAACCATTGAAAAATCAATCCTATTACAAGTATTGTACGCGGGAAATATGTTTTAGGTTAGACTGCCCGCCAGTCTTTGAAAGTTTTTGATGAGTCATATTATTGCAGCAGTGAGTACCTATTATTAAGACGCAAATAAAAGCTAGTAGGTACTTACCTGCCTTAAGTTCCTTTAATAATTACGTAAACTATAGATAGCGTAATATTCCACTGGAATCTATTCAAATACTCTCGATTTCCCCTTCAATTGTAACCAATTCCAACAAAAGGATTGAGTTTGAAATCTAAATTAAGTTGGTTGAAGAAGGAAAGTTGTCTAATTTGTCCGCAATTACGGCTCGTATTTATTTCGTTTCGTTTCGTCTCGAACCCCAAAACTTGATCGAAAGAAGACAATGTTTTAAAAGTGGAATGTTTCCACGGTAGGTATAATTATCGCCCTTTGAGTAATCCGACTTTAATCTGAGATGTCAAAGAACGTGATAAGATTTGTAATTAACTTTATAATTCTTGGCTAATGGAACGAATTTAGGAAACGTCCGCTCTTTAAAAGATGCCTGCTCTACGAAATGCTTCTATGGTTTTTTTTTTATTTCAATCAAGGCGATAGTAATAATACAACTTGTGAAATACTAGTGGGTGCTCCATTTGTCCTAAAATCACAATTCTACCCCATTCAGCCTACGCCAGTTTACTCATTTCTTGGTTTCATTCCACGATTCCTAGAACGTTTATCAATTTAACTTGGTATTGATATTAATACAACGAGTATTTCCTTTTTTATCTACCAGTATTGTTGTCATTTCGTCAAATCTTTGTGCAATAATAAATATATTTTTAGCAATTTAAAAGTGTGGGAGAGCCTTGCTACAGCTCCACCACCACCTACACCGGTTTTCTGTGTCGGCTTAATACAGAAAACCGATGTGAAACAAATACAGCGTTGTGTTTCGCCGTGTGAGTGAGGTTACCGGAGGCCCAATCCCTCCCCTCTTCACGTCCTCTCCAAATCCTTACATATCTGAAAGCCTTATCCCCAAAAGGCTGGCACCGCACTCCTATCTCCTTTGATGTTGCGAGTGTCCATGGGCGGCGCCGATTGCTTACTATCAGGTAATCCGTCTGCTCGTTTGCCGACCTGTGTTTTACCAGGATCTCATAAACAAAAAGAACTTAACTCTTCTAAATAGTTTACCTAGTAAAGAAGTTAGCTACAAGTGTAGTGGTGTTTGCAGGGCGCTGCGGTGAGGGTAGTCCATGCGAACAGCTCTGTCGGGAACTGCACGACGGCACATACGAGTGCGGCTGCGGGCCCGGCTATGTGCTGCACGTCGACGGATACGGCTGCTCAGGTAACTTCCACGCATTTTCTGATGCCCTAGTACTTTTTTGTGCATTATCTTGTAACAAGTTTTAAATTGATTCAAAGTCAAAGTTAAATTCATTTATTTCAATCAGACCCCTACAGGCACTTTCGAACGTCAAACAAAACTTGAAGAATAAAAAGTGTCAGTCTCGCGGTCAGTGCTCTAAGTGAAGCTATTTGCTGTGAATTATGAAAGAATGAAGATTGTGAATGAATGTTATTTTTACTCGATAAATCAAAGTATGAAAGTTAAAATATACTATGGTATAACATAACTTTAATCTTTTTATTTTGGTCCCAATCGTTTGAAAAATAGTTACCCGACTAGCAAATAGCGAATGGAAACAGTTGTTCAATAATAACCAAAAAATATCGTTTATGTACAAATTGACTGCACGGTTGGCGCGGTGGCTGGGCAACTGGCTACCGTGCAACGTGTCGCGGGTTCGATTCCCGCACGGAACAACTCTTTGTGTGATCCACAAATTGTTGGTCCGGGTCTGGGTGTGATGTGCATGTGAAATTGTATGTTTGTAAACGCACCCACGACACAGGAGAAAATCCTAATGTGGGGCAACGTTTGTTTTTAAAAAAGAAACATAAAGAAAAAAAAGAATTAAATACTCCGGAAAGGTTTATGGACTATCTGACTTGAAGAAAATTCTAGTCTTAAAATAACATGGTATTTGACCCAACCACGTCATTAACATAAATAACCTTTCCAAAATGAGGGCGCTATTTAAGGAAATGTGGAAGAAAATAATTGATACGTGTGGGATTTCAACACATGGTTTCAGGTGAAATGTGCCCACAAGTAGTCTACCTTACAATAGGGTTAATATCCTAAAGCGATGTTATTTTATAAAAAAAAAATATTCTTAAATATTTAAATTTCGCCAGATTTGAATAAAATAATAATAACAAAATAATACCTACCTACTCATAAGTTAACAAAGTTTGGAATCCTTACTACTTACTTCCTGCTTTCCTACTATCCCGCTAATGTTATAAATGTGGAAATTTGTGAGAATGTACGGATGTGTGTTTGGATTTGTGTTTGTTATTCTTTCACGTAAAAACCGCTGGTCCGATTTTGTTGAAATTTGGTATGTAGATAGTGCTGCTTTTTATCAGGGAAGCCAGTATTATAATAAAGTTAAATTCAAAATAATTTTACGAAATATCTGCTTCTGGATATAAATAACACAACAATATTCTTGCGCTAACATTTTCTATCTTAAAATTATCCAAGCTAAGGAGGAGGAGAAGCTAATTACTAAATTAGCTCTTAAGCTCAGGTTGCTAGAAAAATGTAACCTCGATGTCGCTAACTAAGTTTTCTATCTTCGGTTCGATAGACACGACAGATAATTTATTAATGACGAGCTTCAACCCTTTTAAAATACAGATAAATAAAAATACTATGTGTGTACACAATTACACAGGTGATGGTTACATAGCACATTGAGAACATATTATGAAAGATTACATACACTAACAATAATATGCTAGTCTTTCACAATTAAGTACAGTCCAGTACTTAATTGTGAAAGAGTCGTCGTAGACGAGGGCCTCAGGACGTTACTTCCTACTTACTTACCCATTGGCATAAATATGTCAGGCTTTCGCTTCAAACGGGGCTGAGTGAAGTAGCGCATTAATGAATCCCCGTTCCAGACTGGAGCGGGAGAAGAAAAAGGGAGATTTTTAGTCAGTAAGACACTGCCTCTCACTCCATAAAAGCGGGAGAAGTCATTTAATGATATTCTTTCATCAAAAAAGGACGACTCTTTCCATAGACGGTTCAATAAAGTAAAATAAATAAAACACATGAGGTACTACTACCATAGAATTTACTAGAATCTATCAAACAGTCATTTGTTTGCAACTAAACTATCAAGTTATACCCGATAGAAAAGTGGCGCTAACAAACAGTAAGATTAAATATAAAATAAATTCTACATAGTTACATAATGTCGATCCCAGCGATATCATAAAAGCAAAGTTCTCGATTTGTCACATAAATCGATTCGCTCGCTCTCATCTCGATTGTCTGCAAGCGAGCGATAGAAATGTTGCGTTTTACGTTTTATACCGAGTTGTGTCTACTGTAAAATGTAGGTAGGTACTGCCTTGCTATTGTGGAGAACGATATTTGTGTTCATTGAATACCTCTAGCTCGGTCGCGTTCATGGTTTGACATTGTTTAAGTTTTATGGATTTTTCGTGACGGGTTTTAGTTGGAAAATTTAGTCTTATATGATTTTCAAATTATTGAGTTATATTTTTGTGCGTACTTTTTATTTACACTTCTCTACTTCAAAGATTAGAAGATTTTTGAATTCTCAAAACACAGTGGTTTCCGATTACTAAAAAAAAAACCAGATATCAAAAACTGAAACTTTCCTTCCTTTCTTTCCTGACTTTCCTCTGAAATGTATAAATAATGAACGAAATTATAATATATTACAATCGTTTGTTCTAAATTAATTATTATGTTATCGGCTTACTCACGTAATAATTTGACGAGATACTCGACTAGTTTCAAGCCATGCTAAAGGCCATTCATAAGCAGCATTCCGCGACACGCGACGCGGCGACTGTCGCGCTACTACTGTATAGTTTGTTTTATTTTAAAATTTACGAAAAAAAAACTTGGTAAACAATTTATATTACCATACAACCATTACTCATACATAATAGATAATATTACTACCACAGCACTATTTCATTCTACATTAATTACCTCCTTGCACTGAAAACTCCATGCGATATTACCATTGACCATTATTTGATGACGTGCGATATAATTTACGATAGTGTATCGGTCTCAGCTGAATATATCTGGATTGGCAATTACTCCTATGGGCTAATTGTTACTGTTATACAACGATAGTAGTCTCTGTGATCACTGAATTATAGACACATTGCCTCATCGACGCCTTGCACAAAGCATTACCTGCATTAATGCGATGCCTAGATATGATTACGCTTAGACGATTAGATACATCTTTGATAAGATTAGATCTTGCTTTAGGTTTGATTATTAAGAAATTGATACTTGTTAAAATATTGAGGGCTAATAATGAAAGTAACAAATTAGGCGTGGAATAATTTTTCAAAGACTGTTTTTAAAATCTGAGTGTATCAATAATTTTGTAGAGTTCACTATTATTTCATAACCTGGCAAACTTCGTTTTGCCTCAAAATTAACTTAAATTTTGCTAGCTTAAGATTTAAGCTTTAAAACCTTCTTTGGACTTCTACGACTATTTCAAGACCAAAATTAGCCAGATCAGACTTTAGTTAGTTCTGGAGATTTAGTGAGAGTAACGAACAACAATTCATTTTTATATTCAGACATAAATGAAAATACTGTTTAGGACAAAACGCCTTGTCTTTGAGATGTATATAGTCATCAAAGTTTAGCATTGTGTTAGTTTCTCAATATGCGATAAATTCAAAGACTATATTGTTACTGTACTGGTTTACTACCATTGCATGCATATACTTAATAATACAAGTCACGTAAACAATAGATACAATTGACTGCACGGTGGGTGCGGTGGCTGGGCAACTGGCTGCCGTGCAACGTGTCGCGGGTTCGATTCCCGCACGGAACAACTCTTTGTGTGATCCACAAATTGTTGTTCCGGGTCTGTATGTCATGTGCATGTGAAATTGTATGTTTGTAACCGCACACACAACACATTAGAAAATACTAGAGTGGGGCATCGTTTTAAAAAGAAAGAAAAAAAAACAATTATTTACTATAGCTATTTATTCACAACATTGTTTGTCCACAGAGCTAAATGCGACGCGAGCAACCGATGTCTCCGACGCAGAAGAGGACGTACTGTACCAAAAAGACGTGTCCTTCTCAGCAGAACTAGAAATAGCACCGTCCAATAGAATTAGTAAACCTACTATAAGCTTAAAACATATCGACGACGATAAAACTCAAAGACTTACAACAACACTGCCAATAGTTTATAACACAAGAAGCACACCAAATTATACTTACACAGGGGAGAAATCCAAACAGGTGGATGGATTGAAGAGTTTAATAGAAGACGGTGTCAGTAAAATTGATCTGAATATCATAGCTGATGATACGAGGGAGAATCTATTAGAAGCCAACGATGCTAAGGTGACGACGCAAGGACCCAGTTTAGAACAGAAAGTAAGAAAATTTGCTTTGAATTTTCGTATTTCTGCTGTATCGCGAACACTTTTTTCTTAGAAATTTAAACAAATTCAAATGTTACTTTTGTTTAATGTGATAAGTCGGCAAACGAGCACACGGATTACCTGATGGTAAGCAATCAGCGCCGCCCATGGACACCCGCAACGGAGGAGTGCGAGTGCGCTGCCGACCTTTTAGGGGTAAGGGATTTGGAGATTTAGGGATTGGGGAAGGGTCCCTGAAGGGGAAGGATTGGGCCTCCGGTAACCTCACTCACACGGCGAAACACAACGCTGTGGTTATTTTTACGCCAGTTTTCTGTGAAGCCGTGGTATCACTCCGGTCGAGCCGACCCATTCGTGCCGAAGCATGGCTCTCCCACACTTAAACTTACTTTTATCGTATTGCATGAAAAGTTTACAAAATCACACTAGGTACACGAGACACTGAAAGATTGCCATTTGAAGTGAATTTCTATGAAGAAAGTAGACAAGCAATAAATTCAAATATTCTTTAAAATCTTACTTTAGTCAATAACAATCAATCTCAATCTTTGACTTTAAAACTGAAAGTCGTCAAAGATATTGATTTGAAAGTACCTAAGGCAAGAGATTTCGGTAACATGATAAAAGACAATCTTCACTTTGTCGATGCTAATGTTGATAGATATTGTTTTGCTTAAGTTTCAATTGTAGCTTTAGGATTGGTTGAAATAGAACACTGTTTCTGCTGACTAGCACTTTTGTTATTAAAACGGCATAGTGATTGGTATTTTAGATCGATGAAACCTCTTAGGCAATTACACAAGTTTCAAGAATAACAATACTCACGAAGCTTTTATCAGTTTTCATTTAATTGAAACAAATGGTGGTGTAGATTTAATACAAATAAATTGATTTCAAGTGTAAATGACTGGTAACAGGAATGGATACCAGCTAACTATTCAGTTCGTCTTTATTTTGCGCCATTTTTAGGGCATTTATAGGCAAGAGTCAATAGGCATTTTTTGAGTTTACGTGTTCCACCATAGACCCCATCATTGCTTTCTACCAGGCTTGATAGAGGTGAAACGCACTCAAATAATAAATAAAAAAATATTAACATCCTTCCCAAAAATACTTAACTTGGGTCCTTAAATTACTAGTCACTCCTATTGTAGTATAAATATGGGAAAAAACTATTAAAATACGAATGAGTGTAGATATGATTAGAACTTTGTCCTTTTCTTTAATGCTTGTTCCATCTCCCAGGTACCAGGAGCGACAGCATCGCCCCCATGGACGGCAGCAGTGGAAGCTTGCGACTGTGAGAGCTGCAGTAACGAAAGGTGTTCGTGTGCCGGCAACCCCAACATGTGCAAACTAGGTAAACTTTATTGATATACTTCTTGCTGTTCCATTCATTAATGAAGTTGTTTTATTGTTCTAAACATATGATGGAAGGAGCGTGGAATACTTGTAGAAAAACTATGAAGAAATTATGAGGAAACCTGAACTTATATTTTTTAATTATATAAAATATACTGACTGACTGCACGGTTGGGGCAATGACTAGGCAACTAGCTGCTGTGCAACGTGCCGCGAGATCGTTCGTAAACACACCCAGGACACAGGAGAAAATAATAACGTCGACCTTTTTTTCGGTCAATCCGGCTTGAGTAAACGTATGCTCTAACTTTCTCCGTATGACAAGAGGGCTTAGCTCAGCTGTAGTAAATGATGATGTTATGGAATACTAAGTAACGAAGCTTATAACACCATAAAGAAAAGCTATATTATTTAAATGTTGGTTTTCCCTTTACTTGTGGAAAACATCGCTTAACTTCAGGTGATTCGTCCGCTCGTTCCCATAAAAAAATATCATAAAGTACAATACTGATGATTGAACTGTTCTAAATCCTCAGGGTGTTGGATTTTCCTTCACATAACCTTCATATACTAGAATATGTCCCTTAGGCTTATCCCCCACGCAACGACAGGGGAATTGATGAATGATTTTTTCCTGTTCTATCCCCCGTGATTGTAATTATTTTAGGGGACAAACGGGGTTAAAACAGTTCGATCACCCACCTAGTAGCTAAGGAGGGATATAATTATTTTCTGTCGCTCCACAAATTGAAAGTAGCCTTGAATACTTGATCGATAAGAGCTAAAATGTATCCTAAACGCAGATACGTGCAGTAGTCTGGACAAGACAAAACTAATCCAGAATAATCTCGATCATCCTCAATGGCTACAGTTATTATCAAAATCACCTTAACATACTCCAATTAAACCCCAGACAAGTAAACAAGTAGTACGTGTTAATAAAATTATTGATTCCAAATTAATTTGCGTCCAAAATTTGATTCGTCCGATCCGCTTGGGATGACATTCGGAAGATAAGGTGAATGGTCTGAAATTCCAGATCCGGTCAAATATTTAAATGACACCCTGGTATTTTGAGGAGGAATATATTTGCATATTACGATTTGTGTACGCAACGCAGGAATTGTGACTGAGGAATTTTAGGAGGGCACAAGGGGCTGAGTTGGAAATCAATAATATCATAATTTTAGAAGCTCCATCGCATCGACCAATTTCCCTAACTAAACAAAGTTTTACTGCCCCAATAATCTTGGGATTTTAAGTAAAACTCAATGGGAGCAATTAAAGGAACCCGCAAAAGATAATTCTTACCAAAGAGTTTGAATATCGGCGAGCGAACGGTCGCCATTTTGAATGATTGCCTTTTGAAGTGCTTACAAACTGTTTATGAGATGAAGGAGTTTAATCGACTTGTTTTGCTTATAGAAAACGTAGTACAACAAGTTCTTATTGTTGAAATTTTCGTCTTAAATCGTGATTTCAGACAAACCGCAGTGATTCCACTTCGAAACTTTAGCAGGAAGAAGTTTAACACTGTTTGTGACTTGCGTTTAGTCCGTCTCTCATAATAATGGATGCAAATCTCTTTCAAACTTCCTTATTTAACTTAACATCAAGCTTGTTGATCTCCGAGGGGATCATCAGAGGTATTCTCATATTTTTTGAACATGTCACAATAAAAGTGTGTGAGAGCCATGCTTCGGCACGAATGGGTCGGCTCGACCGGAGTGATACCACGGCCTCACAGAAAACCGGCGTGAAATAACCACTGCGTTGTGTTTCACTTTGTGAGTAATGTTACCGGAGGATTAATTCTTCCCATACAATCCCTAATCCCCAAAAGGTCGGCAACGCCTCTGTTGTTGCGGGTGTCCATGGGCGGCGCTGATTGCTTAACCATCAGGTCATCCGCCTGCTCGTTTGTCGACCTATTAAATAATAAAAAACACGCTACCTTTAAAAAACAACAAAAATGGCCCCTAATTCTGTACATAGATTTTATTTTAAGACCTTTCTAGACGTATTATTTTATCATTTACGACGTTGGATAATGGGTATAAACATGAAAATAACGTGGAAAACATTTTCACCCAGTAAATATTGAACTCGAAGCATGTAATTCAGATCTAATTGTGGGGTACAGGAATAGAAGGAATTTTTCCTTTATACTATATATTAAGGAAGGAAGGAACAAATTTGAGGTAAAAACATAAAAATTTCCACCGTTCTGTGAGTATCGAATTCTGGTTACTGTCAATTACAACGCAAAGTGATATTGATTTAGTATCTGACCCATTTTTTATAAGGAGTACACAAAAGGCCAGCTTTGATCAAACAAGTAGGTATGCATGCTGTATATATAACCGGAATTAGTCCGTTTGCACGAAAACATTTTTTTAAAAACGTTTTCCCACACTAGGATTTTCTTTTCGTGCGGTTACAAACATACAATTTCACATGCACATAACACCCAGACCCGGAACAACAATTTGTGGATCACACAAAGAGTTGTTCCGTGCGGGAATCGCAGCCGCGACACGTTGCACGACAGCCAGTTGTCCAGCCACTGCGCCAACCGTGCAGTCAAACATATAACATACCGGTTATACAGGAAAACGTATAATTGGCCATATAACTTGGAATAATTATATTTTGTAAAACATTATTATGCATCGCTTTTGGTTAGCTTAATAAAAAAAAATGCTGTGCCTCGTGGTTTATCATCAATTTCTAGTCTATGTTCACAAGAGATAGTGTAGTTTCCTAGCAGTGAAAGATTTTTTTAAATCGGTCAAATAGTTTCATCTTCCCTCTTTGTATTATTAGGTGTAGCTTAGTCATCATCATCATCAGTTCATTTCTTTTTCGGATCCTTTGGTTAAACATTATTGTTACACTGTTCTCACATAATAGAACTATCTAAATTATGTAACAATGCATTGTGAAAAGTGATTTGAAAAAGAGTAACCATGAAGTTTCTTGCTCGTTCTTATCCATAGGAATCTACACTTTGGAACGAGCAAATAGTTTCATTAGAGGACAGACGGACAGACTGACACATATAAAGTTAAACCTTATGATATCTTTTTTGCTTGACGTTCAAAAGTGCCTGTTGTGGGCTACTTGAAATAAAAAAAATTGATTTGATTTGTCAATATTTAGTTAGGTATGATTTTACAAAATTATGGTATATTCCGAGCCAGGGACGAGTCCAGTAGTATAGGTGGAAGGGATCACGGCAGTGGTGGTGGGAAAACCAGTTTCTGTGATGCGGTTAGCTAGCGCATCGAACGGCGCGCGGCTCAATATATTGCAATGAATATAAATATTGTAGGTTTCAATAAGCTTAAGGCAATATTGACTATTTATTATACAGAAAATAACGTGCAATGTTCTATTGGATTCTATCCTATGAAAAAAGTACTTAAATATTAAAACATATTAGTCTTTTATAAAACTCTACCAAGAAGTTGTGCTCGAAAACAATAATTATGATAATCAGTTAGGTACTGAAGTAAAAACTAAAGGAAGTGTGGCAGAGCCAAGCTTCGGCACGAATGAGTCAGTTCGACTGGAGTGACACCGCCGCCTCACAGAAAACCGGCGTGAAACACAGCGCTGGGTTTCACGCCGGTTTTCTGTATATTATATATATATATTGAGCCGCGCGCCGTTCGATGCGCTAGCTAACCGCATCACAGAAACTGGTTTTCCCACCACCACTGCCGTGATCCCTTCCACCTATACTACTGGACTCGTCCCTGGCTCGGAATATACCATAATTTTGTAAAATCATACCTAACTAAATATTGACAAATCAAATCAATTTTTTTTATTTCAAGTAGCCCACAACAGGCACTTTTGAACGTCAAGCAAAAAAGATATCATAAGGTTTAACTTTATATGTGTCAGTCTGTCCGTCTGTCCTCTAATGAAACTATTTGCTCGTTCCAAAGTGTAGATTCCTATGGATAAGAACGAGCAAGAAACTTCATGGTTACTCTTTTTCAAATCACTTTTCACAATGCATTGTTACATAATTTAGATAGTTCTATTATGTGAGAACAGTGTAACAATAATGTTTAACCAAAGGATCCGAAAAAGAAATGAACTGATGATGATGATGACTAAGCTACACCTAATAATACAAAGAGGGAAGATGAAACTATTTGACCGATTTAAAAAAATCTTTCACTGCTAGGAAACTACACTATCTCTTGTGAACCCATGGACAAGACACCAAAGGAGTTACGTGTGTACGTTGCCGGCTTTTTAGGGATAATGGTTTCGGATATTTAAAAATTGATTGGCGGGGCAGGGATTGGACCTCCGGTAACCTCACTCACACGGTAAAACACAACGTTGTGGTGGTTTCAAGCTGGTTTTCTGTGAGGCCATGATATCACTCTGGTCGAGTCGACCCATTCGTACTGAAGCTTGGCTCTCCCACACTTTAAAGTAAAGTACTTGCGCAACTTTACTTCTTCGTGTCGGTAGATGGCGTTAGTGGACAAATGGTATCTAATATTTTTTAGTTATAATATTGTAACTAAACGTTAACAATTGCAAATGACGAAGTCGTTAGTTCGCTATCATTGAATATTTTATCCGGTTTTCTGTATGGCCGTGGTGTAAATCTATAAAAAGGGTAATCCTTTACACTTGTCTAGTTCTCGAGCGCTTAGTAAGATCCCTTCCATTTAATCCCCGTCACCAAAAGTATAAAGTTTCATCCACATCACCTCAATGCAGGTAAACACGTTTAATTTTGGAGTTCAATTCAGCATAATCGGATCAGCGAGAACTCAATAACAACTGTCAGGGTGAAGTTTGGGGCGAGTTGGTTCGTGTTACGGAAGTGGTCCGTTGGTAATGGCGGCCGTGTGCCTTCCGGTCCACGTTATGTAACCAACTTCATACCGCCATGTTAAAATGTTAGTTAGAAGCTGGATTATTATGGTTTGTTATTGTGTTATTCGTTAAATACGTGGTGTCGGA